TCCTATGGTTGTGACTAATGCTAATGTTAGCCACTTTAGCCACACAACATGCTAACACTGAGGACTCCGCTATGGTTGTGACTAATGCTAATGTTAGCCACTTTAGCCACACAACATGCTAACACTGAGGACTCCGCTATGGTTGTGACTAATGCTAATGTTAATCTGGTTAGCTGGTAGTGGTTCTTAGATAACAGAACTTTGTGTCTGTGCAGGTTTCCTGGATTCAAAGAGGTCCGACTGGTTCCGGGGAAACACGACATCTCCTTCGTGGAGTTTGAGAGCGACGCCCAGGCGGGCGTGGCCAAAGACGCGCTGCAGGGCTTCAGGATCACGGCCACCTGCGCCATGAAGATCACCTACGCCAAGAAGTAGTTCAGCTGGACCGGAACCCAGCCTGGATGTGGGAACCTATCCTGGACCCCAGAACCCAGCCTGGATGCCTGAGCCCAGCCTGGATGTGGGAACCTCTCCTGGACCCCAGAACCCAGCCTGGATGCCAGAACCCATTCTGGACACACATTGTGGACTTTACCTTTTTACACTGTTTGTTGCTAAGTTGTGTTTCTTTGGGTCGAGACGTGAACCTCAGACCGAATCCTGATTTGTACAATAAAGAGTTTTTAGTGAAGACGTGCTTCCTCTGGTGGGTTTTTACAGGCTGGACATGAAGGCTGGAACGTGGCTTCAGTCACCAAAGAGAACTGAAGAAGTTTTCTGCTGCGTGTCGTGTTCCTTCACTGAGCTTCATGTCCCTCTGCAGCTCTGAGGAACCAGAACCACATGGAGACAGAACTCAGGAGGACCCAGGGGGGTCACATTCAGTCAGTCTGCATCAACTTTAACTTGTTTTAACCAACGATTTAACAAAAGTTTTAATATTCTTTACAAATCTTAAATGATTTTTGATCAATTTTCTGAATGTTTTTGCACAATTTTGGACGATTCTGAGAAAGTCTTGAGTCCTTGTGGACGGTTTGCTGAACTTCCTGGACAGCGTTTGAGGAGAATTCTGGGTCATCTCTTGCTCTGTGGGACCTTGTTGTGAGTCATGTTGGAGAAACCTGTGGTCCACCTGCATCACTAGTCAGTCATCTGGACACGTTTTGAGTTGTTCTGGACGTTCTCTGTCATGTTGGACCCTCCAGCCTGCGCTCTGTGGGTCTCTGCTGGTTCTGTTCAGCTCAGTGGGTTCGTTTCTCATCAGGATGGTTTAGTCTGTGTGGGCTTTAGCTTCATCTGACATCTGGGTCTGCGTTTTGAGTCTCCTTTATGATTATCCTCTGTGTGTGTGCGTGTGTGTGTGTGTGTGCGTGTGTGTGTGTGTGTGTGTGTGTGTGTGTGTGTGAGTGAACCTCCATCGGGTCAGATTTCCTCTGAGGACCAGGAGGCGCGCACAGCGGGGCGGGACATGGCGCGTCGTGAACCCGCGCCGCGCTCCCGCCCGTCTCGCGGCTCAGTGGAGCAGAGCGCGCGGAGGAGAAGCAGCTTCAGGTGACCAGGTTCGGGCAGGTCCGGTCAGGTTCTCATGAAAGCGCGTCGTTCCTTCACGTCGCTGCTGGTGTTTCGGACTCTTCTCCACAGAACCGAACTGACCCGTTTCGTTCCGGTTCTTCTCCACAGCATCAGGTGAGACTCAGGATCCGTTTCATGTTTAATCTACGCGCTCTGGAAAGAAAGAAAAGTTTAAAAACGAACTGGTTTTATTACTGTACGTCCTGTTTCCTCTGTTTAGTTCAATCACCGCTAATTGTTTCTGCTGCAGGAATCTGATCATGTTTCCTTTAGTCCTGGTGTTTATTATCCACACTTCAGTTCTCATTCAACTACATGAATAAAACCACATTTATACACATGCACCATGTTTAAGGAACACTTAGTGACGGGTTTTTCTGGCGCCCTTCTTCAGCTTTGGTTACGTTACCAAACTAACTAAAAGAAAACATTCAAAAGCTCCAAAATCCCCTGAATCCGTTCAATACTGGGATTCACTTATTGGTTGTTTTTTCTCTGCAGACATTAAATTAATAATAATTGTCTGTGTAATTATCTTTATGTTTCTGTGACGTGAACTTTCTCAGGTTTTTACAAACCAAACAATGAAAACATTCAGCAGCAGGTTGATTCAGAGGAACATTTAAACATCCAGTTTATTGTCACATTTAAGCAACGTTTGACAAAAAACTGAATCAATAATAAAAACGTGATGAATTTTCCTTTAATCCACTAAAAGATGAATCGACTTCTGTTGCAGCTGTAAAATCAGTAATAATCAACCAGCTGGATGAATTAATGAATAAATAAATGTAAGCTGGAGGTTTGTGTTATTCTCTGTTTTCACATCAGATGAGCAGAATCACATGAATTCTGGGTGATGTGTTGGTTGGCTGGTCGGTGAACGTGTGGACGCTCACTCATACCATGAAGACAAACAGTCTGAAGACCTGCTGCAGCACAAGAAATCAAACTGTAGATTTCAGGACAAAATGCAAAATTACTTTTGTCATTTCTAACTGTTCAGGTACTGGTTGGTTTGATTTTCTGGCAGAAACATTCAGAAAGAGGAATTTCAGAATCTCATCTTTAACCTCATGTGATCAAATCAGACCTGCTGTATGTTTAAATAGGAGCTGATCCGGTCGTGGATCCGTTTTGTTCCATTCTTCAGTCGACAGCATGTTAGTCACTGCATCCCCCAGCCAAGGAACACTAAAGAACCTTAAGGAACACTAAAGAACCTTAAGGAACCTTAAAGAACCTTGAGGAACATTAAGGAACATGAAGTGATGGAGGTAATATGAACTTCAGGGGTTTTTCAGTGTAGCTTCTATCAACAGATGTAAAGTCTTAGAGGCAGCAGGAAGGATGCTGTTGTCATGGATACAGAGATTTGCTTTGAGGATGCTAAATAAGTATTTAGACTTTTATTCTTCTGTTAGCATCGTAGCTTTTGTGGCAGCACACAGCGCTGATTTTAGATAATAAATGTAAAGTGAAGAGATAAAACTTTAGAGTTATAAAGATAAAAAGCCAAACTTACAAGCTTTTATCAACACTTGTTAGCCCTGGGCGGCTAGTAGCTAGCCTGGATAAGCTAGTCACTAGCCCAGAGATGGTTGTGGCTAAGGTACCTGATGATGTTAGTTGCTGTCGCAGTAATGCTCACTGCTAGCCTAGCCATGGTAGCTGCTACCCTTGGGATGCTAGTCTGTATCATTGCCATGCTAGTTGTTGGTTTAGGAGTGCAGGTTACTAGCCTGGGTACGCTAAACAGTAGCCTCAGTTGGTAGCTCAGGGATGCTTGTACATAGCTTAGAATTGCTAGTTACTAGCACAGAAATTCAACTCGTTAATGAGGTACATAGCCTAAGGACACTAGCTGCTAATCTAAGAATGCTGGTGACAGCCCTAAGAATGCTAACATCATTAACCCAGGAATAGTCGAAGAAGAACTTTAGCTGTCATGCTAGGCATGCTAATTGCTAGCCTTGCCATGGTAGGCGCTGGTTTAGTGGTGTGCGCAGATAACCTCTGGATGTTAGCTTCTAGCTAAAGGATGGCAGTTGCTAGCCTGAAAATGCTGGTTGGTAGCAGTTGATGGTAGTCTAAGAATGCTTGTCACTGTTCAAGGGGTCCTCGGTGGAAACTTTGCCATGCTAGTTAGTAGCTTTGGGATGTTAGTCACTGGCTTGAGGATATTTATAGTTAGCCTTGGGTTGTTAGGTGGTTATCTAAGGATAGTAGTCATTCGACTAAGCTTGCTAGTTGCTAACCTTTTAGTTTGTGGCTAGTCTAGGAATGCTAGTGTTAGTTGTTAGCCCTGGCATGCTTGTTGTTAGCCCTAACATGCTAGTTGTTAGCCCTAACATGCTAGTTGTTACCTCTGACATGTTAGTTGTTAGCACTGAAATTTAAGTTGCTAGCTCTGGCATGCTAGTTGTTAGCGCTGACATGTTAGTTGTTAGCCTTAACGTGCTAGTTGTTAGCCCTAACATGCTGTTTGTTTGCTATACTTTAAAAAGTGAATGTTTTTCAAACCTTCCTGCTGCTGAATGCGACCTGCCGTCCTTTAAATTAGACTTATTGATTATAATAATGATTCTGATAGTATGACATTGATCAGGCCAAACACCTCCTTCCTCCCCAGGAGCACAAACACAATGACAAAATAATCACATTTTAAAAATTGCGTCCCTACCAGCAGTAAGATGTTTTGTTCCTGTTATGACTTGAAGGTCTGATGATCTGGAACATTCTACAGCCAGAAACATAAAGATGTCTTCACAGCGACAACAAGCTGAAGTCTGTATTATAATAATCGTATTGATCTGTTTGATGGGTTTTGTCTCGTTTAATTTGATCAGTTAAGAATAATTTAAAGTATTTTTATGAACCAGGTAAATAAATTGTTGTGCTTTTCTAATCCCACACCAGCTTAAGGTGAACATCAGCATGAACTCTTTCCTGTAGATCAGCTGTTTCACCGTGCCGTGGTCCAGTGGAAGCCGGCTGACTTTATGTCTGCTCTCTGACTGTATGAACCTTCCTGCTGTGACCTGCTGCCGCCCTCTAACTCACATACGATGAGTCCCGTCAGCTTTTGTGTTGACTCAGAGATTTTTAGAGGCGAGACTAAACATTCCTCAAGCTGCAGACGAATCTGACAGATCCTCTACAGAAGCTCTGTGACCCGACGGCCGAAGCATCAAACTGTGCAGCTCGAACACCTGCAGCCAATCAGAGCCGCCGGACGGCTGCAGGAGGCGACCTGGACCTGGACCCTGACGCTCAGACGGACACGCTGAGAAAAACACAGTTCAGTGTAGAAGATGAAACATGTGACGGACAAGAACGCTGATATACGCTCAGTATATTTAAAAGGACTTCCAGAATTAGAATATTAAAAATAAAATGTCACATTTCCTTTAAAAAATGCTGTTTACACTTAAATGTCAAATGGATCTAAATGTATCCCTCCATAGTAATCAGATTACTGCTAACCATAGAGTACGGTCTCTGATATCAGATTACTACCAGCTCAGATCCACAGATTAACTTCAGGCTCCACAGCAGGAACTGAACCAAAG